AAATTAAAAATAAACTCCTTACTTTTGGGATTTGTGATGGAAGTAAGATATACAGATGGGTATTGATTTAATATGGGATATCTGTGGTTCAAACGAGGGATTTCTGGTCCCTTTTAGCCCACTTCACGATAACCCATCTGCTGTACAATGTGTGTGTGTGTGTGTATATATATATGTATATATATATATATATATATATACAGTTGTGTTCAAAATAATAGCAGTCAGACATCACTAACCTGATCAAACACTGTTTTTGGTAGATATTTCTACATGGCAAATAATTTATTAATAGAAATCCAACAGTCATGACATGCATGCTGCTGATTCTGTGTCATTGAATCACTCATTGAAAGGGGCATGTTCAAAATAATAGCAGTGTGGAGTTCTATTAGTGAGGTCATTCATTCTTTGAAAAACAGGTGGCAATTATTGCCCTTATTTAAGGAAGGAAGGCAGCAAATGTTGTACATACCGGTTACAGTGCATTTCTCTCTGAAATTCTGAGGAAAATGGGTTGTTCCAGACATTGTTCAGAAGAACAGCGTACCTTGATTAAAAAGTTGATTGGAGAGGGGAAAACATATAAAGAAGTGCAGAAAATGATCGGCTGCTCAGCTAAAATGACTGCAAATGCTTTAAAATGGCAACCAAAACCTGAAAGACGTGAAAGAAAGCGAAAAACTACCATTCGAATGAATAGAAGAATAGCCAAAATGGCACGGACTCAGCCAACAATCAGCTCCAGGAAGATGAAAGAAGGTGTGACGTTCCCTGTGAGGACTGTTACAATTAGAAGATGCCTATGTGAAGCCAAGCTATCTGCAAGAAGCCCCCGCAAAGTCCTTCTGTAGAAAAAAAGACGTGCTGAAGGGGTTACAATTTGCCAAAGAGCACATTGACTGGCCTAAAGAGAAATGGTGCAACATTTTGTGGACTGATGAAAGTAAGATTGTTCTTTTTGGGTCTAGTGGCCGGAGACAGTTTGTCAGACGACCCCCAAACACTGAATTCAAGCCACAGTACACTGTGAAGACAGTGAAGCATGGTGGTGCAAGCATCATGATATGGGGATGTTTCTCCTACTACGGTGTTGGGCCTATTTATCGCATACCAGGGATCATGGATCAGTTTGAATACATCAGAATACTTGAAGAGGTCATGCTGCCTTATGCTAAAGAGGAAATGCCCTTGAAATAGGCATTCCAACAAGACAACGACCCCAAACACACCTGTAAACGTGCAACATCTTGGTTCCAGACCAACAAGATGGACGTTATGGAGTGGCCAGCCCAATCCCCGGATCTTAATCCAATAGAAAACTTGTGGGGTGACATCAAAAATGCAGTTTCTGAGGCAAAACCAAGAAATAGAGAAGAACTGTGGAATGTAGTCCAATCATCCTGGGCTGGAATACCTGATCACAGGGGCCAGAAGTTGGGTGACTCCATGCAACACAGATGTACAGCAGTTCTCAGAAACAGTGCGACTACAACCAAATATTCATGAAGTCATTCAAAGGAAAGCAAAATCTTCAAACATTTCTCAGTTTATATAGTGAATGTTTGAGTTTGTAAAGAAGAATACAAACACTGCTATTTTTTTGAACCGTCTAATATTCACTTTTCTTCAATTTTTTTAGAGGAACACCACAAATTTGATCTATTTTTCTTCATGTTTCGATTTGGAATAGAATGTGTCGTGTTCCCAATGCATTTGTGTGTATGGAAACAAAAGCTATTAGAAGGATTTTGAGCTTTATTCACTTTTTTCAACACTCTGCTATTATTTTGAACACAACTGTGTGTGTGTGTGTATATATATATATATATATATATATACAGTTGCAAGAAAAAGTATGTGAACCCCTTGGGATTACGTGGAGTTTTGCATGAATTGGGCATAAAATGTGCTCTGAACGTCATCTAAGTCACAACAATAGAAGAACACAGTCTGCTGAACATAATACTACACAAACATTAGATGTTGCCATGGTTTAATTGCACATAACATGTAAACATTCACAGTGCGGGGAGGAAAAAGTATGTGAGGCCCTAGCTTAATGACTTCTCCCAGAGCTAATTGGAGCCAGAAGTGAGCCAACCTTGACTCCAATCAGTGGGATGATATTGGATGTGTTGCTGACACCTGTTTTGGGTTTACTGGTTTCAAGAAGCACTGTCTGATGTGAACCATGCCTGGCAGAAAAGAGCTCTCAGAAGACCTACGATCAAGAATTGTTGACTTGCATGAAGCTGGAAAGGGTTACAAAAGTATCTCCAAAAGCCTTGGTGTTCATGTGTCCACGGTAAGACAGACTGTCTACAAATGGAGAAAGTTTAGCACTGTTGCTACTCTCCCTAGGCGTGGTCGTCCTGTAAAAATGACTGCAAGAGCACAGCGCAGAATGCTGCATGAGGTAAAGAAGAATCCCAGAATGTCAGCTAAAGACCTACAGAAATCTCTGGCACATGCTAACATTTTTGTTGACACATCTACAATAAGGAAAACATTAAACAAGAATGGAGTACATGGGAGGACACCACGGAGGAAGCCATTGCTGTCCAAAAAGAAGATTGCAGCACGTTTGAAGTTTGCAAAAGAGCACCTGGATGTTCCACAGCACTACTGGCAAAATATACTGTGGACAGATGAAACCAAGATTGAGTTGTTTGGGAAGAACACACAACACTATGTGTGGAGAAAAAAAAGGCCCAGCACACCAACATCAAAACCTCATCCCCACTGTGAAACATGGCGGAGGGAGCATCATGGTTTGGGGCTGTGTTGCTGGCTCAGGGCCTGGACGGATCGTTGTCATTGATGGGAAAATGAATTCCAGAGTTTATCAAGACATTTTGCAGGAAAACGTACGACCATCTGTCCGCCAACTGAAGCTCCGCAGAGGATGGGTGATGCAACAGGACAATGACCCAAAGCATACAAGTCATTCAACAAAACAATGGCTGCAACAGCACAGAATACGCCTTCTGGAGTGGCCCAGTCAGAGTCCTGACCTCAACCCCATTGAAACGCTGTGGCATGACCTTAAGAGAGCGATTCACACCAGACATCCCAAGAATATTGCTACACTGAAACAGTTTTGTGAAGAGGAGTGGTCCAAAATGACTCCAGATCGTTGTGCAGGTCTGATCTGCAACTACAGGAAACGTTTGGTTGAGGTTATTGCTGCCAAAGGAGGGTCAACCAGTTATTAAGTCCAAAGGTTCACATACTTTTTCCTCCCTGCACTGTGAATGTTTACATGTTATGTGCAATTAAACCATGGCAACATCTAATGTTTGTGTAGTATTATGTTCAGCAGACTGTGCTCTTCTATTGTTGTGACTTAGATGACATTCAGAGCACATTTTATGCCCAAGTCATGCAAAACTCCACGGAATCCCAAGGGGTTCACATACTTTTTCTTGCAACTGTATATAGATTGTAAGCTCCAAGGATCAGGGCCCTCCTATCCCTCTTGTATTGAACTGTATTGTTGCTGTATTGTCTCCCTTTATATTGTAAAGTGCTGAGCAAACTGTTGGGGCTATATAAATCCTGTATAATAATATATATATATACTGTATGTATACTATGTGACCAGCAGAGGGTACCACAGGCTCAGCCAGAACAAGCACACTTCATTATAATTGCAATCCACGTGCTGCTACAGCACAATAAAAGGAGGGTTTGATAGAAAGCAAATGGATGAAAGGAGGGGATTATGGGATGTAGAAATCTGTTTTTTTTCCACTCCTGGTCATTGTGACTGCATTATTCCTGGAGTGGCAACATTCAGAATTGCTATGCCACAATACAATTACTAGCTATCTGTTATACATATTTCTGTGTTGCTGAAATCTTTTGTTAAAGCTGAACTCCGGGCACCATTATTAATTATGTTTATATGTTTTATAATTTACCTGCCTCCATAGTGTTCCATTTTTTTTCCAAAAACATAAAAACCCCGGATCTGATAGTTTTGTGTATTGATACAGTTTGGGTGGACTTTCACCTTCCGACTAAAACTAATGTCTGTGTCATGTCTCCACCCCTGCATGCCAGTTGCATTTTGTGAATGCGCATAGTGTTCCTAGCGGTGGAACTGCGATACCGGTGCAGATGGCGACCTGGGGGTGGAAGCACAGACCAAGCAGTACTCGCAAAACTAATTGATTTTTACAAAAAATACACTGCAAAGCTAACTAGATCATATCACATCGGAACATATTAACATAATGGTGCTTGGGTAATTTGTTAAAGCACAGTTCTTGCATTTTTTTAACTTAAAACCCTTTTTATTTTCATTCTTTATTGAATCTCTGTGCTGCTGATCTTCTGTCACCACTTTGCAGCCATTTCCAATCTACATGCACTCCAGCGATGGCTGCATGGCATTTCTCAGGGAGAGTTTCCTAATGGTGACAGTAGTGGGCTCGACCTGCAGAATGTGTGTTAAAATGGCCTCCTTCAGAAGTTCATGTGACATTATTATTATTATTATATTATTATACAGTATTTATAAAGCGCCGATAGTTCGCTCAACGCTGTACATTACAATGGTGACAACACAGGAGCACAGGTGGTAAACAGAGACGAAGCGTTGTCCCCAGATAACAGGAAGCACAAGATCTCCGGGTATGTAAAAGCTACAGGTGTTAAAATAGTAAAAATTGTTTTTGAAATTAGATTTTAGCGATGATGTTTATATGGACTTGAAAGGAAACCCGAGAGAAACCAGTAGAATTCCCTTGCTGAAATTCCTGTTTAGAAAATGCTAGTAAACTGGCTTCTATGCAGATCCGAAGACTTTGGTTCTTCATTAGATCACTAGCTGTATGATTGTTGCAGGTCGCTGACTCAGAAGGTATTGGAGCCAGAGATAGCCAGTCATTGACATTTTCAGTGGAAGGTCAAATAGTAAATGGCAGTGTCTAATTTTCCCAGGTCTGGTTTCTCGTAAAGCACCTTTCAGCTTCAGTCTCAGAGCATTGAATATGGATGTAAAAGATGCATTTAGGTCAGAATAAAACATTAAGGGCTTGTTTACGCTGGTGGCACCCCCTTAACCTCTGATAAGAAATATGTGGTGGATCTCTTTTCACCAGTGGAGTCCAGAAGCCTCAATGCTACAGATCTGGCAGGGTGACTCTCTGAGAACAGACCAGTATTCACCAAGTGGCTCTTGAAATCTGCCCTTCCACCTACTCCTCTGGGAGATCACCAGGTCTTAAAGACTGACCTGTGTTACCAGAGCTCCACTGTCATGGCTGTCCAAGAGGCCTCAGAGGCTTATCTCATAGGACTTTTTGAGGACATCAACCTCTGTGCCATACATGCCAAGAAGGTCACCATTATGCCCAAAGACATACAGCTGACATGCAGGATTTGTGGAGAGAGGGGAGTGTAGGTTGGGGATCAATCTGCTCACGGAGCCCCGAACACCCACAAGAGGAACCCTGGTTGAAAAAGGCTGTTGTATAACAGTTCTGGGACTCAAATGATTCATTTGTATAGACTTCTGTAAATTGGATCAACAAGAGGGACAAATGAGGAGAAAAGAGCTGAAAGAGGAAGGATTTGGTTCAGTTGTATGAACTTCTTTAGGAGATCATCTGATGACTATATTATCAGAAAAAAACCTACTAGAAGGTTCTATTTAGAGATCTAAACTTCTCCCCCAAAAGAAATGAGAGAAGGGAGCTCGGATTTTTCTACCCCATCTACTCAGAAGAGTTTGCAGAGCCATCACTCGTCCGCTGGTGCAGCAGGTGCGGGTCCCCGTTGGTCTCCTTCCCTTAAGTGGCTCATTGAAATCTCTACAAAGACCCAGAAGAAGCTCTGTAGAGCAGTAAAAATAGGCAAACATCGCTCATAAATAGCAATCAATGAATCTGCCCAGTCTTGAGTTTTTATGTAGCTGCATTATTTACCATGTGGACTCCACAATGAGAGCGGAACAGCTAAATATATCTGTTTAGACTACACAATGGGCTTCTCATAAATAAATACAGAGGAGTATAAAGAGAATACGTAGATCACATATAAAAATTATATTTAAAAATCAGTATAAACTGATTTTATATATAATAAATATTTAAAAAATATATAAAAATAAAATTTTTCAATAATTCAACAATAAATCAATACAATACAAATGCAATTCTAATCTGATTGTGTAAAGCTGGCCACAGACAGATCAAATTCCTGCTGAACTGGATGAATTCTAGTCCATCTATGGGCAGACTAGTTGTACTGAAGTTGATCTGTTATGTTTTTTTTTTTTTCACGTGATCACTGCCGCCGACTATAGCCGCCAATCATTGTATTCTGATGGCTGGCTATACTCCCGCTGTCAGAATACAATAGTGCAACAGGAAGGATTCCCCATTGATGAAGGAATCAAGCAATTTTCTTTCTTTCAACTCATGGCTGAAGGAAAGAAAATTGCATAATGTATGGCTGGCCTAAGTGCCATTTCTGTCTGTTGCCTCGTTCCTCTGCTATCTGCATGAGTTGTTTCCCAACACCAAAAGAAAATTTGACAGCTCTGTTCCTGTGTTCTGTGTGAAAGGGGCTGTGTCCCGTCCCTCCAATCCGCTCTAACTGAACTCTGCTGAATGTAACTTCAACTTTCTGTCACCTGCTTTCTGAAAGCAAAGGCAAGCGGTATAAATTCTGCACTTTGAATGGCTGTAGAGAGCGGGCTGCAGTTAATCAGTTAATCCTTTTGTAGAAGGATTTGTTTCATCTCTGTGTATCACCTGAGGCCAGTCACTTCACTGGGATTACAACTTTAAATGTTGTTCTGTACCAGTGTTTCTCAGCTGGGTTGCCATCTGGGTTCCCTATGGGTGCCCATGAGCATGGGACCCAGTTGGACCCTGGATTGGCATCATGTGCTGTCATGGTGTGGGAGAGCCAGATGCCAGCATCATAACAACCACTGACACTCTAGGACCAGCTTGTCCATGACATTGATCCTGGGCAGGTGACATGCAGGAGAAGATGGAAGTCCACGTCCTCCAGACCTCTTCCACTTTCTGCCTTCTGTGATGGAAGGACTGTGTGACTGGGGGGCTCTGTTATGGGGGGACCATGTGACTGGGGACTCTGTAATACAAGGACTGTATGATTGGGGGGCTGTGTGATAGAGGGACTGTATGATTGGGGAGCTCTGTTATAGAGGGACTGTATGATTGGGGAGCTCTGTTATAGAGGGACTGTATGATTGGGGAGCTCTGTTATAGAGGGACTGTATGATTGGAGAGCTCTGTGATAGAGGGACTGTATGATTGGGGGGGCTCTGTGATAGGACTGTATGATTGGGGGGCTCTATGATAGAGGGACTGTTTGATTGGGGGGCTCTGTGATCGGACTATTTGATTGGAAAGCTCTGTGATAGAGGGACTGTATGATTGGGGGGGCTCTGTGATAGAAGGACTGTATGATTGGGGGGCTCTATGATAGAGGGACTGTTTGATTGGGGGGCTCTGTGATCGGACTATTTGATTGGAAAGCTCTGTGATAGAGGGACTGTATGATTGGGGGGGGGCTCTGTGATAGGGGGACTGTATGATTGGGGGGGTTCTGTTATAGGGGGACTGTATGATTGGGGGGCTCTTATAGAGGGACTGTTTGGGGGGCTTTGTGATGGGGGACTATGTGATTGGGGGCCTCTGTGATAGAGGAACTGTATGATTGGGGGGCTCTGTGATAGAGGGACTGTTTAATTGGGGGGGCTCTGTGATGGGGTGACTGCATGATTGGGGCTCTGTGATAGGACTATTTGAATGGAGAGCTCTGTGATAGAGGGACTGTATGATTGGGGGGGGCTCTGTGATAGAGGGACTGTATGATTGGGGGGTTCTGTTATAGGAGGACTGTATGAATGGGGGGCTCTTATAGAGGGACTGTTTGGGGGGCTTTGTGATGGGGGACTATGTGATTGGGGGTCTCTGTGATAGAGGAACTGTATGATTGGGGGGCTCTGTGATAGAGGGACTGTTTAATTGGGGGGGGCTCTGTGATGGGGTGACTGTATGATTGGGGCTCTGTGATAGGACTATTTGATTGGAGAGCTCTGTGATAGAGGGACTGTATGATTGGGGGGCTCTTATAGAGGGACTGTTTGATTGTGGGGCTTTGTGATGGGGGACTATGTGATTGGGGGCCTCTGTGATAGAGAAAGGTATGATTGGGGGGCTCTGTGATAGAGGAAGGTATGATTGTGGGGTGTTCTGTTATAGAGTTTCTGTATATTTTTTTATATTTTAGGTTGGGGTGCCCCAATATTTTTGCATACTTTTAGAGGGTGCTGCGACTGAAAAAAGGGGTGAGAATCCCTGATCTATACTATATCACTTAGATTACAAATGTAGATCAATGAATTGGGTATTCTTGCCTCTGACACTCCAATGTCACCCAACATGTCTTTATCTCTGTGACAAGGGGGAGTAAATTGCGGGTTATGTTTATATTTGCCATGTAACGTTTTTCTTTTTTTATTCAAATTATTTTCTTTACAGCGGAGCAGTGTCAGGTAAGGGGGGTGGGGTGATCCCCTCATACTCCACTGCCGTGACAGATTAGATTGTACGCCCCTTGAGGGTTAGGGACTGATGTGAATGTACAATATATATGTAAAGTGCTGCGTAAATTGATGGCGCTGTATAAGTACCTGAAATAAATTATAACCCGGCCTTGGAGGCCCCACCCAGGGCAACAAAACTGCCTGATCCGGGTGGAAAGTTATCAGTGGACAGTGACTGCATGCTATTAGATACAGTATCTGGGGATTCAGGTAGCCTCAGGTGACGTGGCTGTCTGCATACCATAGCCATCAGCAGGAGATTCCTCCTTCCATGCTGTTTAGTGTAGATGATGGAGAATTGGTCTGTGTATGGCTAGCCTCACTGATGGCATGAGCCGGGCTGGGCAATGTTCACAGCCTTCGAGGCTGACCATCCACATTACAAACGAATTGTGCAATCTTCTCTCAATCTACCAAGAACTATGTAGTATGAAGGCCTACCTGCCTGCTTGGCTATAGGTTGAGCAGATTGTTTAGGATACATTTTGGTAAACCTAAGGCAACCCAAGGCAGCAGAACGGTCCCGTGTTGTAGTGCACCGAGAAACAACTCATGTTACAGTGGCTGTAGACCTCAGACATGAAATACGAACAAAGCATATCCCTCTATAGTGTGTACTTTTCTCAATCCAGAGCACTAAGTGGCATTTCTGTCTGCTGTCCCCTTCCTCTGCTATCAGCATGAGTCACTTCTGACAAGTTTTCTTGACACCCAAGAGAAAAATGGTGACAGGGGAAGGACCTCTAGCACACATCCTGTGACTGACAGCCTCAGCTCTGTTCCTGTGTGAAGGGGGGTGTTTCTCTTGCCTCCAATCAGCTCTCACTGAACTCTTCAGTGTGTAACTTCAGCTCCCCGCCCCTTGCTTTCTGAAAGCTCAGACAAGCTATATAAGTTTAGGACTTTGAAGGGCTGCAGAGAAGAGAGGGCTGCATATAAACAGGTACAACTTATGTAGGAGAATTTGTTTCATCTCTGTGTATCACCTGAGGCCAGTCACATAACAGGGTATAACTGAAATATGCTGATTATCAGTGCGGATCTCCCGTCACATTTGCCGGTTATCGGCAGTACTTTTTTCATGCTGTGACAGCGTGAGGAAAGTTTAGCCAATAACCAGAAACTGTATTTACCCGGTGATCTGGTGTGTCATTGGACACAGCTGATCACGTGGTAAAAGGCCGCTGTGATTGGCCTTTTACCTCATCACCGACTGCGCCAGGTGCACGCTGCTGGGGGCGTGTTCTGGGAGGACGTCCATGGATGCCCTCCCAGAACTGGACAACCACGCTGTAGCCGTCTTTTGGTTTGGAAGCAGTTAAGGGATGCGGACATTAACGGATGTAAACAGATGATCATTGGTTTACATCCGCTAATCCATAGAAATACATGGGTGTCCATTTTACATCCATTAATGGACAGATGAAAATCGGACATACGGATCGCCCGTGTGAAAGGGTGCTGAGGACAGATTCTCCCACCTGAGCTGTGGATCTCTGCAGCTGCTCCAGAGTTATCATGGGCCTCTTGGCTGCTTCTCTGATGAATGCTCTCCTTGCCCGGCCTGTCAGTTTAGTTGGACGGCCATGTCTTGGTAGGTTTGCAGTTGTGCCATACTCTTTCCATTTTTGGATGATGGATTGAACAGTGAACCGTGAGATGTTCAAAGCTTGGGATATTTTTTATAACCTAACCCTGCTTTAAACTTCTCCACAACTTTATCCCTGACCTGTCTGGTGTGTTCCTTGGTATTCATGATGCTGTTTGTTCACTAATGTTCTCTTAACAAACCTCTGAGGGCTTCACAGAACAGCTGT